TTCAATTTCAATGCAAAATAGTTGACTGAAAGTTGGCCCCTATATACATGTGTATGTGTGTGTGTGTGTGTGTGTGTGTGTGTGTGTGTGCTCGGCATTCTATGTCGAAAGTATTTTGTTGCTTTGGCGTTAAATATTACAACTACGTCTATTCCTTCTGTCTGCCGCAGCTGGGCGCACTGGGCGCACTGGGCGCATGGGGCGACCCTTTGCATAAATAAAGCCTTTCACACACACACACACTCAAACACACGTACAGCAACATTTGAGAGGCTTATAAAATATTCATATGCACATAGCAGTCCGATGCTTTTGAAGCTATCAACACACACACTCGAGCGAAGGCAACGCCCAAACAAATGGAAAAAGTTTTTCGTGCAACAAATTCCAAGTTTAGCTGCAAAACATGCCACACGTGGCCAATGAAGGATTCTAACGAAACTTATGCTAATTTCAAAAACGTTCAACTGTTGCATACAACATAATAACAATACACAGACACACACGCACACACACCCACACACACACACCCATTCGCAACATTCACGCTTAAATTTGCGTTGCCTGCTTCGAGGCGCACATTTCAATTGCTTGGCCCATGCCTGATCTCGCAAGGCTCTGCTCAAGTCGGCGGCTTGAGGCATGCTTCAAGTGCTCCACATTGCATTCCCATTCCCATTCCTGTTCGCTTTCGCATTCGCATTCGCATTCTCATTCCGCAGATGACACAGAGCCTGACCCGTGCTGGCTGAGAACCCTTTTTATGTCAGCCATTTCTGACCTTCGTCGTGCTTATGCATAAAATGTGCTCATTGTTGTTGCTGCTGTTGTTGTTATTGTTGTTGTCGTTGTTGCTGCTTGTGCTTGGCTCCTTAGCATGTTTGCTCTTTGTGCAAGCGGCTGGGGTGGCAGCAAATTATGACCGAAGTGATAAATGTATGAAACATTTTGCATTTTGGCTCCTTACGAAAGATTTCACAGATGCAATTGATAAGTATATATATTTCTTATATACGTATATATATACTATGTACTTATATATATAAATTAATTATGGACTGTGTTCCAAGAAATTGTCTTTCTATCATCAGTAGATTTAGCTACTCAGCTTTAACTAGTTGAGAATTCTATTATGCAAGGAGAGCCAAAGCGCGTGAAGCCAGCAACTATTATTGATTAGCTAATCAAGATTACTTATATTACACTGCTCTGATTCTCACTGCCCGAACCTAGAGAGAAGTCCTTACTCTGCAGACTAAATATCATCGAACACATCAGCGATAGATAGATAGATAGATAGCTATAAAATTCAAAGGCTTCAAATTAATATTAAATTAAAATTAAAAAAAATCTTATTAAAGTTTATTCACATAAACTAAATATCTTTACAATAAGATTCTAAATTTAATTTTTTTATTAAATTAATTTTACTTTGAAGTATAAAAATATTAGATAAAAGTATTGAAACCAACTATTGTTTTAGATAATATTCAAAGAAATTAAATTATCGCTAGTAACAAAAGCAGCTCATCCTTTTGTTGTAAGCTTTTTTCTTTAATATTTTTAAAATTATCTTGAATAATATAGAAAATATTCAACACCAACAGTGAATACAAATTATAAATTAAATAAATTATAAATAATAAATTTGCTAATGAGAACTTAAACAATATTTTAAAAAGGCTGCTCAGATCAGAAGTATATAAGAACTATTATAAGTGCTTGACTTCGTGCATTTCGAAAACGTTTCACTGACTTTTAAATAACTTTTGCGCAATACTTAATATTGTCATCATTTAATCATTTCATTTCATTTAATCATTTCATTTCATTTAATCATTTAATTTACCTTAAACTGCTGCTGAGTTGAAGTTTTCAATCACATAAGAAACTTTGCTCTATTCAATTTCAAGAATCTAATCACATTTAAAGTATACTCGTACTTATACTTATATTATACGTCTGTTTTTGTTACACTCCCTTTCATTTCGCTTATTTTTTTGCATTTCACTTCATTCGAAAACATTTTACCGCAGAGCTCAATTGAAGCCGCATCGAGTGCAAACGGAGCCAAGTATGAAGCAGGGAGTCATATCATTTAGCTAAATTCAATCTGAGAGTTGCCTTCCTCGGAACAAGAGTTTCCTATTCCTAACGAATTGAATCAAGAGGTTGTCCTAGCTGCTCTTGCCCAAGGGGAGCTTTAAAAACGTATTTATATAGAACATTTTTTTATTAGCCATATTAATTAGCCTTGTTTACGATTGATGGAAAATGACACATTTGAAGGAATCAAGTGAGAATGAAACACGCATCAGTACTTGATTGAAATGAGACAATTGATTGAAATATACTTAAATAGGCCCACAAGAATAAAGGCATCTAAATAAACGAACTGGAATGAAACACAGCTAAGTATATCTGCCTTAGAAACAAGCGGCAATGAAACATGGCTACTTATATGTGTGTTATTTAGTATTTATAATGAGATTTCTGTTTGGTAATATCAGATACATTTGGTTAAAACAAATGGAATTGAAACATTCTGAAATATATATAAATTGATCCAGTTTGGTTTTCAAAAATATATTTGACATAGCTGGGAGTGAGACATGCACTTGTATTTGCAAGTTTCAGTTAATTGAAACAACTGGAAATGAAACACTAAAGTAATACGACTTGATCCAATTTCCCTTTTTGAGAATGAAACAACTGAGAATGAAACACGCTTAAGTATTGGTAGAATAGCTGCAAATGAAACACACTCAAGGCTATGTACGATGTGCCACTTCCATTGTTTCAGTAAAGGAAATCGAATAAAAATGCAAATGCAAATAGGACAAATCATTCCGTAATGCGACAAACAATATTGACTTTTCAAGGACAACAAGAACGGCTTTGTAATTTTATAAAGCTGCATTGTATGCTCTTGCCGATGGTATTGAAACGTTCTGATGAAATGTGTGGCATATCGAGTATTAAGTAAACACCCAACGCACACATACCCTATACATCTGATTAATGGGAATCTACGGCCGAGCTGTCAATCTAGTTTACCAAGCTATACGAGCCAAAGAAGAGACAGAAATATTGGACCACTCGATCGTGGAGATCTAGTTTCCTTAAGCTTGAGCGCTGCAAGGGTATTCGATGTTCGAGCAGCCTCTCGTAGCTGTTATCATTAAATATTGAGCACAATAAGCGAATGGCGAGCAGCGCACGGTGTGCCATTTGCCCTGTGTCAATATGTTGGTGTGGGCGTGGCATAATGGCAGCATGTTGCTGCATGCAACATGGAAATGGAAATGGATTGTAGCAACGAGCAGCATGTATGTAAATCCATTTATGCTTCAGCGCATTTATAGCCAATTTTAAAAGCCCAAAGAGCCGCAGCGCTGCTGCTGTGGTGCACTGGTGCTGCTGTGGCGCCACCAGGTGGCTGGCCAGTTCCGTTGATTTGTGTCTGCGAGTGTGTGCGATTCAATGTACTGCAGCATGTAGCCATTGCTTTTCATTTACAATAAGCACAAGAGAGCGCCAGAGGCGGAGATAGCGAGTACGTCGGATTTGGCCATTTAATTGCGCAATTGCCGCATGTTTTACGACTACTCACTCGCAGCACTCAAAGCACACAGTCGCATGCATATTCACGCTCCAAGACACAATGTTGCATACCTCCGCTCGCAAGCAAAGTGTCGAGTGCGTGCCTGCACGTAGGAAGTTTACTCCAGCCATGGGCTGCTTGGCCCATGGACGTCCAGCTATGCGAAATGTTGCTTATCAGCGCGTTAGCAATGGAGCCGGCAGGAGCAGGGCGCAGCACGGAGCTGCCTATTACATGGCAGTTTAGAAATATTTGTCTTCAGTAAGCACTTTTTGTAGTTGCTGTCTTTGATTTGCTTTTTCACCCTACGCAAAATCGTAATTTACATTTTCCAAATGGTTTTCTTTCTGTGCTAAACTATGCTTAAATTACGCTTCTGCAACTCTTGTATAGAAGAGGCAGCCAACTGGCTTTATAGATATTTTCATTTGACTGCAACTAATCTCAGTAATAGTATCTTGGTCTCTATCGCTGACTCGTGTTGAACATTAGCTTCTCTAGCAATGCACTCATGCAACATATTCACATACATTTGAATTTGTATGCGTAGGAGTGAGAAACGTGACGAAAGGACGATGTCTTCCCTTGTTTTTTTTCTATATTTTTTTTCTATCGTTAGCAAAACCATTTCAGCTTGATTTCCCAATTTCTATGAGTTCAGGGTATTCAAAGTCACTTGTATACACTTTCCCCTTGTGTTATATATTCTCTATTCCTCACTCCATTAACCTCTGTCCTGTCATCTTTGTATATATTACTCGGATTTCTTTTATTTATTTTTTTAACTGTTTTTAAACTCTCATTTATTACTTCACTTGTCACCCAGAACTCAAGTGACAGTCACTTGACTAAGTTAAGAAGCAACATCCCTTTACTTAAGAATAAATTATAGCTACTGCATTAATTTCCCAAGGCGTGCAACTTGAGCTCAGCTCCCAACTGTTTTTGCTGTGTCCCTATACTCAATACTTTTGTATATGAAAATTACTCGATGCTCTCTCTATTTAGCGTGATTTATTTCCAATTGTCAGCTTAAACTAAGGGCATATTTTCCTACAGCCTATGCTCTACAAGCAACATTGTTGCTGACTGAAACTTGAGCTGCTATGACTGTTATCATGATATGCGGCTATGCGTGATCTGTGATCAGTGATCGTGTTAGCTTATATACCATGTTTAATCAATCGAAGATCTACTATAAATCACTTTGCACTTGAGACAAAGCAACCAATAGACGCCCATAACACAAAAGCTGGCAATAAGCTACTTTTCCCCATTGAACACGTAGACAAATTGCTTAATTTTGGAGGTGCAACAAATATCGATAACAATAGAAATTATATATATATATATGTATAAATGTATATGTATGGAGCGATAAGTCTGATGTACTCACTGATTCAAGTTGCGCTCGTTGGAGCCACTCTGGCTTTGCACATTGTCCGTGTGCCGTCGCTCCTTGTGCACGATGCCCATCAGTTTCATCCATGGATTGTTTTGGGAGCCATGGCCTCCCATGCCGCCACTCTGCCACATCGTCATCTTGGCGTTTGGGGCGTGGCAGTGGCTGTGGCAGCTTTAACCCAAACCAACGACGATGCAACCTCGCTTTAGAAACCTGACGAACGCGACGATAATTGCATAGATTCAAGTATCGCTCTTTGTTTCTGTTACGTTTTTTTGCTATTAATCTTCTCAATTATGTTCAAGTGTTGTTCTGACAGACTCGAAAATTGAAGCGCAGCTGCTGCGGTTGCCGTTGCTAGCAGCAGCAGCATCCAAATTTCTGTTGCATACCCTCAGGAGGCTCTCATAATTGTGTGGCCCGCAACAATTTGATATCTTGGATGGAATTTAGCTCAGAGTTTATTGTGGTTTAGTTTGCTATTGTTGTTCTTTGGCTTATTTAATTGTTGTTTGTTGTTGCTGGTGTTGGTGTTGGTGTTGTTTTTGTTGTGGGCGGCTGGCGTTGCGTTCTGCGTTCTTGGCTTATAATTTGCTGAATTTTCTAATTTTCCTAACTGGAATTTTGCCTTTTTTGGTTCATTTATATATGCACAGATGTATATATCTATATATATATACGTATGTATTTCTATAGCTCTTCAAGTTTTGCGGTTTTGGTCATTTAGCTTTATTTATTTCAGTTTTTTATTTATTTATTTATTTTTTTTTGGCTCGATTTATGTTTTGTGGCTTTCTCGGTTTTGTTTTGTTGTTTTAAAGCTTTCGTAATTTTGCGTGTTTGAATTAAAAATTTAATATTTATGTTAAATTTATTATTTATGTTTGGTTTTTGTCACATAATGTCTAAAATTAAGAATCACAATGGCGTAAATTGGGTTTGTTGTGGTTTTTATCTTTTATTTTTTGTTATTTTTAATGTTAAATTTACTATTTCAATTTGTAACTATTAATTTATTAATTCTCGTTTTGTTAACCATTTAATGCTAATTATTGTTAAATGTTTTGTATTTTTGCTTTGCTATTTGTGTCTGTTCGTCTAATCAAACGTCATTTAATAATTTTCATTAATTGCTTATCGCTTATTAGTTGTTAATTCATTAATTATTATTGCCTTGCTGTATCTAATTTTGTATATTTTTATTGTTAAATATTTTGTGTGTGTTTTTTTTATATTTTTATATTTTTACTACGTCTCTAGCTAAATTGCGGCTGGCCTTGATTTCTCTTTAGTTTTTGTTTTCTTTTATTTTATTTTATTTTACTTTTATTCGGCTGTTACTTATTATCCTCACCGAGTATTCGTTTAATACAAAAAAACTTGAATAAATTTGCACATTTATATTTTACTCATTGCTCAATTTTCTAATCATTGCATTAGATTGACGATATGAATGTGATATCCGGCATATGGACAGCAGCTGAAATATACAATTCAAAAAGAAAATCTGTTAATATCAACTATGGATAAATGTTTTGTTGTATAGCAATTAAGAGATCAAGCATTTATGCTTCTATTATTATACATTTTATATCTATTTTGCAGTTTCAATATTATATTATATTCAAATTTTAATTACTTTAGAATAAACTTAAGTATTTAATAGTTCTACATTTTGTAGACTCCCAAAAACTAATAGGTCTCGATATCTATTATAGAAGAAGTCACATCAGGCAATAAACACGCGTATATATATATAAAAATATATGTATATTCAACAAATTGATATAGACAATAAAAACTATTATAGTTAATGTTTCAGATATCTGATTATAATATACAATATGAACTTGCAAACTGATTGCGTATCCACCGCATTCTACAGACCTGCTCCCAGCGACATTTTTTTGGTCTCAGGCCTTAAAGGAATGCTCGTTGATGAAGAGGTAATCAGCGCAACAGAGACCTAGCTAAGCGACCAGGCTAAGCACAAAGCGTACTACAACAAATAAGAGTGTTTCAGTTGAGACGGATCGACTAGGAGATACCCTGAACCCTGCGAGGGCTGATACTCCAATCACTATAAACTTATTTTATGCATTCATTACAAACAGGACGTGTGTGTGACGACTGAATCTGGGCTGCAGGCTACAGACCATGGGATTAAACATGGATAATTAATTGTTGAATAACGTTTCTTTTTGTGTACTTTGTTAATGAAACTTTCTGTGCATAATAAATTCAGTTGATTTATCTATGATTGATTTTGATAGATATTATACTGCGTGTGGTATTCACGAGTTCACATTCAACTCGTAATATGATCAGGAATATACATTATATAATCTATATACTTTATATAATTTATATACTTTATATAGTTTACATACTTTAAATACTTTATATAATTTATATACTTTATATACTTTACATAATTTACATACTTTATATACTTTACATACTTTATATACTTTATATACTTATATACTTTATATAATTTATATACTTTATATACTTTGTATACTTTGTATATTTTGTATACTTTGTATGCCTTATATACTTTATATTCTTTCTATACTTTAAATAATTTATAAACTTTATGGAATCAGTCTCGCCTCCTTCTGCCTGTTACATACAATTTTATGAAACTTTTATACCCTGAATTCCCATTTTTATTTAGGCTGAGTATTGCCTTTTAGTCTAGAAATTCTTCAGTTGGTACAAGATATTTGCACATCTATCAAGGAGAACTTGACAATAATGCTTAAAAACCATAAATGCCGTTGATTTTAAAGCGTTTAGCTTCGAAGCGTTTCCTCGCCTAATTTAATCAAAGCTAAATACATACAAATTGCATTTTATACACTTATTTTTAATTAGTTTTTGAATATTTGAATATTCTACAGCTCCTGTCGGCAACAATGTGCACAGAATTGTGTATAAGCTGTTGTCCAGCAGAACAGACAGTTTTATCAGCCTGGCGCATATAAATGTATATATATATCGCAAGGTGGTGCAGTTTGAAGGAAAAGCCGAAAGCAAGGCAGACAAAGCCTGGCAAAGTTGCTCAGTAGATTGTCAGTTGTTGCAATGGTCAAAATATTTTATAGACAGCAGCTGAGACCAAAGCGAGCAGAAGATAAAGTGAGCACACAATGTGTGCGTGTGTGTGTGTGCGTGTGTGTGGACATTTGCAATGCCATCAACGTCACAATAAGCACATTATGAGCTTTTCCCTAAAAGAAAATGGGAAATGCTTTCGGATTGTCTTTCTACTTGGGGCACTTGCTTGCCCACAGGCTGTGACTATATAATTATAAAATCGTGGCAAAAGCTGGGCAGCCAACACACACACACATGCATGGAAATTAAAGTAAATTGACTGTAATTAATAATCGTTACACTTTGCAAGAAGCTGCTCCAGCTACTGTGAGAGCGAGAGAAAAAAAGAGCGAGAGCGAGAGAGTTGGCGCTGCATTGACTGCCTTTGGCAAGCTGCCCGCTTAACTGGCTGGCAATTCTCCATGCTCGAAGCCGCAACAGCATCAGCCGCCGCATCAGCCAGAAGCATCTGCACAACCATGCGAACAGCAATTTGTCAAGCGGCTGACAACAACAAAAATATATTTGAAAAAAATGCAGCCAAAGGCGACTAGTCGAAGCTCAAATACACTTCTGTCTATATATACATATACATATATAATATGCTTATATATATACATATATAAAAGATAAAAATATATATCCATATATATATAAAGTGTACTTTAGATAAATTATAACGTGAGACTTCATTCATTAATATAAGTCATAAAATATTTCTTAAGAAATGTTCTTCTTAAACTAAGTCATTTGTTTGCTTTGGATATTTATAGATAAAGATATCTTGTGTTTATATATTATACATTACAAATATTATTAATAAATAAAATGTTTTTCATAGAACAACATCTACATAATCTTTTATTTGACTTCTTAGCTGTTCTATGGAAATTGTATTTATTTATTTTAAAACATTTTCCTTTAAGCTGTCCATATTATAAATATTTATATCGTATAAGCACTGATTCTTATTTGCAGTCTCTGTTCAGGTAGTCATCATCCAAAAGCCAACTGCCTTATCAAGCGTATGGACTCATTGAAAGTGTATACGAAAAGAGAATTACATGAAAATTAAAATGAATGGGGAAAGTGGAAAACTGCAATGCTTCAACTTTAACCCGACAGCAAACCAAAAATGTACAAATTCTTAAAACTAATATAGAGAGATATATCTAACGGACATGTGTTTGTATATATATGAAAGGTGTATTCATATCTTCCTATATGCTAGGTATACTTAATACTTATACGAATTCTACTCAATTTAACATCATATATTTTCTCTCCCTCTCTAATCTCTCCTTCTCTCAACACTATGTCTCTCTCTCTCTCTCTCTCTCTCTCTCTGTCTCTCTCTTTCTGTTTCTCTCACCTCTCCCTCGTTCTTTCGCTTCTCTTTTTCTCTCTTTATCACTCCTTACCTGTCTCTCTCTCTCTGTCTCTCTCTCTCCTCATGTGTTATCTCGTCCAACTCTCCTCTTCTCTTATTTCTACTTTTCTCCCTCTGTCTCTCTCTTTATTTATACTTTCCCTCTTTCTTTCTCTCCTCATCTCTTTCCCTTAAGGTCGCCCTATGTCTCATTTCTTCTTTTCTCTCATCTTTCTATTCTTAAACGTTTCATAAGCTGCGTTCAGCAATGCAACCAAATCTTTTCTTTACTATTTCCAGTTTAATTCTGTTTCGATTAACAATGAAAAGTATATTACACTTATTACACATATACTCCCTGAGATATAATATGTTTTTCTGTATGTAAAAGAAATTGAATTTGTAACTTGGAAGCACTGCAGCATGGATAAATACAAATTTAAATTGGCTTTCACACAGCTGCGTCAAGTTGGGTTAAGCTGCGTTGCAAACAGAGCTCAATCCGGTTGAGTTGAGTTGAGCTGAAGCTGAAGTTCAAGTTGCTGCTGCTGCTGCTGCTGCAGGCAGCTACTTTGTATATACATACATTTATATATATTATATTCACGAAATGTTGTCACATTGCAAAGTGCGCTGAAGCGTGCCGCATTCAGAGTGAAGGCAGATGTATCTATGACTGTAACTGCTGTCGCGTTTGTCCTTTGTGCCATGTCCTTTGGTCGTACGTCCTTTGTCCTGTGTCCTTTGTCGCTTGTCGTTTGTTCGCTTGTCGTCTGTCAGCATCGCTTCAGCTCAACGATCTGTCAACGTCAACGGTGCGTATGACAAATTTTATATTGTGCTGCCAACACTTCAGCACAACTGCTTCAACTGCTCGCAAATGAAATGAAATGAAAGCAAAAACGAAGCTAATTACGCATGCGGCTTTATCATTTATTGGCATGCAAACAGTATTTCATTTCATTCTTTCTTTCACTTCTTCCTCTCCCCTTTCTTCTTCTGCTCCTCATACACATACGTGTGCAATAAATATACATATATGACTGACTGTCATATATATCACTGCGTAGCTGGCAGCTGGCACCAGCTTTGTCACAGCTTACACCAAGGATTATGCACTGCCCGCTGCAGTCAAATATTTAACTCAGAGCCATTCATAACAACAACAACAACAGCAGCAGCAGCAGCAGCAACAATAGCAGCCGCAATAAATTACATTTGCAGTGTAATATTTTTTTGCTTGTTTGTGAATCTTGCTTTCAGCTTTAGTTTTTCAACTTTTCAACAAAATAGATTTGAAATGGCAAAGATTTTGAACTTTTATATTAATTTTATATATTTATTCTATATTTTATATTATTATTATACTATTGTCCCATATTATCTGTAAGCCTATCACGTCTATCTCAGCACTTATAAAAGCGAGAGACTTGATTTTGTAGCACGCGCCTCTCAAGTTTTTCCAAACTAATCGATAGCTGCTCCCGCTTTATTATTATCGATTGAAAACATCATCGGAATGCAGTGGCTAAATTATATCTCGAGCAGCTTAAGAGCTAGAGCGTCCAAATTTGTATTTTTTATATGTACATTTTTTACAATTTTGATTTTTGATAGATTCTCCCCAAAACTCTTTAAGTTTAAGCATAGTCCGAAATATAGCCAATATATGAAAAACTTTGAATATTCACTAAGCCAACAAGTGCTCCAATCAAATATGTAGCTCATATGCTGAGCATTTCATTAAGTTCATTAAGTAAAACAGAACGAAACTTTTAGTCAAGCGTACGCATATTCCCTGAACAAGTGCACAGATACATTCAAATATATTGTATATATATTCTTTTCTATTCGAAGAATCGAAATTGAGATTGAATAATGTATGTGTTGTCAGCTGCTACATAAGTTGAGGCTTAAGGCAATGCAGTGGCATTGCTGGGAGGCGCCACACTCGTTGTCGAGGAGTTATTGCTAATGTCAGTTTTTATTTGGCTCGTTAAAAACGCATATAGAATAGGATTCCGGGTAGTTCCCAGTCAGACAGCGCCTGCCAGAGTGTTCTTACTGGTTTATGCTGGTATTTGCTATATAAATTTGTGCGAGTGCTCGCCTCTTAACCTTATCTTTAGATTTCTCAGATAAATTTCAACATAAATGCAATTTGCTTATTGCTACATCAGAGCTAAAGACTTCTTTGCCCGTCTTTATCAGCACTTAATGAGGCAATAAGGCAAGGTATATATACGTCTACTAAGGATGCAGCAGATTGGTTAAATCGACAGGAAGAACTATACAGCTGGAGTTCTCTATAGATTAATTCATATTTATAGAGCATAGAGAACAGTTGAGGCGCGGCATATCACAAAAGGCCAAAATATTGGAATTGCTAGTGGAATACAAAGTCCACAGAAAGATTTATAGCTAGTATGTGGTTCTTACATACAAATTGAAGCTTAACATACAAACGTTAACAGTATGTTAAGAGAAAGATGTTGCTCTAATAACCACTTTATTTGTTCCAGCTCAAAGATTTTTTCCTTTCTTTTGAATAAGATCCACAATTAAAATGCATCCAAGCAGCTCATTAAGTTTTTATCTCTCGCAGCAAAGCGCACAAACGAATTGCAACAGATACAGTTACATATATGTATACATAGTCTTGATAGCGTCAACTTTGCAATCGTTTGCCAACGCCCCAGAAGGCTGCACATTAAATTGATAAGCGGAGCTTGGCTCTGGATGCGGCAATTAGCCGAAAAATGTGAAATGCGTGTCTGAGAGGTGGAGCTGAAGCGCTGTGACCTGCTATTTAAATTGCCAGGTAATTAGCGCTCGTTGTCACCTTTCCTCTGCCCGCTTTTAAGTACCCTCCCCGCCCTGCACCACCCACATGGCGCACAAAGTTTATGCTATCTGAAACGACACGAAAACATGGGCGCGGTCGCAAAACGAAAGTTCAAATTAGGCGTAAAATAGGAAAATAACAAACCTAAAGCAAAGGACCCAATCAGCGACTCTGAGACACGGCACTGACAGCAAAAAGGAAAAAACTTTTCTCTATATACTGGAAAATCCCCGAAAGTTGCGTGCACGACAAATATATTCACTTTGATTGAAATTTCCTTTATATATATATATATATATATATATATTAAATTAAGCAAGTTAATATTGAAACACCTGAATTGTTAACGCAACATATCAGAGAAACTTCAACTTAAGTTTACATTAAATATTAAAATAAAAATAATAATATAATATAATAAAAAAAATATTAAAAATACCATAAAACTATTGTAAATATTATTATTTAATGTGAGATAGAAAACATTTTTACAATGGATAATAAAAAAATAATATTAAAAATACCATAAAAATATTGTAAATATTATTATTTAATGTGAGATAGAAAACATTTTTACAATGGATTTTGCGCATAGAAGAAGACGCTTTAGAATGCTATAGGTATACATATACTACTGATCAGCATTAAAATTAATATAATAAATTAAACAGATCTCTTGTTTTATTAATTTTATTAAAATTAAACTCTATTCGGTAAGGCGTCTCACTGACGATTGCATCCTGCAAATAAACTCCCAATGACTAAGACATCATTTGCTGCAGATTTTTCATGAGTGTTTCATATCATATGATTGCTATTGTTATCTCAAGTTCTCATAGAGTATAGACTAATTACTGTTGATATTGAAAATGCTTGCATAATTTCACATAATACATCCCAGCTACTATGCTGCATGGATGTATTAACATCGCAAGGCTAATTCCCTGTTTGCCGTTAGGCGAGACGTGTATGTCATGTTATGTATGTATATATGTGTTAGTCTGCTTATCGAAACACCTACCTGAGTGGCCCTACTACTATCTGTATACACTTCAGATCAATCATATTAAAAAGTGTTATTAAGGAGCTAAAGTCCTGCCAAACTAAGTGCAAATTATTGTAAGGAAAACTCAATATGAAGTTCGGGCTTTTCAACAATCACCTCACACATTTCATATTACAGCTTGCAGCAAATAATTATCATCTGCTTATTGAGACATATTTCACTTCACATACTTGTAGCAGTCTAGAAAACATCAGCCAAGAAACGTATATCACAATTTGGGTTAGCCGCAATGGCCAAGCAGAGCAACGCGCACACCTTTCGCTTGGCGTATGTGGACACTGCAAAAGATGGAGATTGAGAGAAAGAGAGAGAGAGAGAGAGAGGGAGAGCTGACAGCAGTTGGCAACTTACTGTTGCTGATCCTAGGTAGCAGCTTAAGCCACAAGGGCATGACATGCAAATCCAATGACGCCTTCCATCATGATAACCACAAGCCCACTCGCTCTCACCCTCTCTCTCTCTCTGTCTCTGCTTTCCCATCCTCCATCCCTTGGGTCACTGCCAACAAGTGCAAAAGGTTAAAGAGCACAAAGCTCGCAGCCCCCAAAGGAATATTTAATTAGGGACTGTAGCTGTTGCCACTGATACTGCAAGCTGGAGCTGCAAACTGTTTCGATGCTTTGTGTTGGCCAGGTGTGTGTTTTGGCCAGGGGATTTACCTGGCGCAAAGCTGGACAACGGCAGCAGCAATAGCCAACAAAAACAAAACAACATCAACAACTAGTTGTAGCCATAGCTGCAGCTAGTTGGATCAATAAATAGCAGCTGTGCGGCAATTGGCTTTTGGTGTTTGCCATTTGGCAACTGGGAGCGGCCGATACAGCGCAACAACAGAGTGCAGCATGGTAAATGGGCGTCGTAATTGAACACAATTAATATCTAATGAAAATTGATTTGCAGCCGCCCAAGAAGAAGCTGTCGAAGAAGGAGAAGGCGCGCCTCGAGGCCGAACAGGCCGAGATGCTGCGCATCGAAATGGAGAAGGAAAAGTTCGTATGAATACCAAAAGAGGATTGAATAACAGTTCTATTTGAGGCATTTCCCACCCACAGACTAAAGAAACTGGAAGAGGCGCGTCAGCGCAAGAAGCTGGAAATGGAGCAGGCCAAGCACCGCCAGCAGCATGAAGTGGCTGAGAATCGCTTGCGACGCGGCCAACTCAAGGACAGCATGAGATTCTTCGATAATGTGCATACAACCATCGAGGCGATCAAGGCGGGCGAGCGGCAACAATGCGACTGGGAGAAGTTCATGCGCTGCAACGGACTGCCAAATGCGGCTAGTCCCAGCGATCTGCGCAAATACATCCATCAGTGGCACGCGGACATTGCCCAGCGTCAGCTCGAGGCCCGCAACTGGCTGCTGCGCACAGATGAGCGTACCCTGCTCACCCAGGATGCCCAGGTGCCGGACCTGACGCGGGTCTCGCTGCGCCAGCAACAGGGCAATCTGGGCGATATCTATGCGCAGCGCATCAAGGAGGTGCTGGGCGTAAGTCAGGTTTGCATCTCAGCACGAAGACCAGAGCTAAAGCTGCCCTCTCTGACAGATTCTCAGCGAACTGGACGAGTCGCTGTCGTACACGAAGTCCCGATCGGCGCACGTGGCCGCTGATCTCGTGAAGCTAAAAACTGAGATGCGCGTGTTCCTCAAGCAACATCTGGACGAGTTCACCCACAAGACGATGTCACACATTGAGCGCGACATGGAGTTAGTACTCAGCTGTCTAATTGCTGTAGATCTTGCTTAGAGTCCAATCTTTCAATTACAGAATCGATAGACCTGGTGTCTCCAAGCACATCTATAGCTCGGATGTCTTTCAGAGTTTCGTTTGGACGTTCTCCAAGGATGCCCAAATGTAAGAACTGGAATAACTTTATTGCCTTCTTTATGTTTATTTTCTTTAAGTTTTGTGCCTTGTGTCATTCGCTCCCAATCTCAATTCTATTCTTCTTCTATATCTCTTTTTTCAGTTAGGTCTTCTTTTACTTTGGCCTTTCGACATGAATTCTTTTCTTCTCCTCTTCCTCTTTGTTTCTTTCTTATTTTCTGTTACTCTCTCTCTCGCTCTTCGCGATATCTTTAAGTCAGGCACTCCCACCTAAAGCACATTGATTTTTTTTTACTATTTTTCAGCCTCCTGCATTTTTATGATCTCATTTGCTTCTTTAATAAATTTATATTCTTTCTAAATATTTCCCCTTACATTAACTTTAATCTCTACAATTCTCTTTTATCACTTGCTTTCCTCATTCCCGCTCACAGCGCTATCAATCCCAAAGCTCGCATTGGCGAGCAATCGTCTCACAATGAGATCGATTTTCCCACGTTAGAGATGAACATTTCGCTGCCTCCGACTGTACAGCTGCAGAGCTCTGCGCTGCGCGGACTGTGGCTCAACTATGATCACTTCAGTGACTATTGCAGCAGTTTTCAACTAAAGCACGCCCGCTCTGAAAATGCCAGTAAGCCTTCAAGCTACCTAATCAATCTAAGTTCCACTTTTATTTGAGTATTGCAGCTATTTTACGGCAAACGAAGCGGGAGTGGCGGAAGCGCAAGGAGATTCTGCAGTCCATGCTGGATGAGTGCGCCCGGGAGATTCCGTTGTCAGAGTTGGAGCAGCTGACGCAGGAACAGCACTCGTCCAGCTCGCAAGCGCCACGTGAGCGTAGCTACGACGTGGACAAGCTCTATGCCCAATACGAGGATGAGCTCAACAAGGCGCGGCGACGAGCTGTTGGCCCCGAGGCGTATGGCTTGCTCGAGACAGATGTGAATTTGCGCAAATATCGCATCATATCGGGCGTCTACTGCATCGATTTTCTGGAGACGCCACAGCAGGACAAGCAGCTAAATGCTCGCTCATTCATACGCACCAGTGGGTAGACCAAACAAACTCTACACTTATATATACAGCTGTTGTTACTAATTCCGCTTGCAGTTGCTGCTGCAAACAATCTGATGCATAAGGAATACTATCAAACCTATAAGCCGCCGCCTCCGGTGCTGCCCGGTGTGCGTCGACTGCCCGAGGAAATTGAGGCTGAGATGCGCATGATTGAGGCGGCACTGGATAAGCTCGCCTTGGTCACACTGCAGTAAGCACTCGACTTGCCAGTCCACTTGAATGTATCTATAATACAGAAGCCAGCCAGACCATTTCTGACCTGCAATCCACAAAAGCATCCCTGCACTCGTTGCGAATGGCAAGCTCTCTGTGAGCTGAAGAACCTTTTATTGTTGCTTCCAAGAAATTTCATTTTTTGTTGGCTTGGCCTTTTAATCAAACTGATTTTGATGCTCTAAGCCCATTGAAAATGGAAATTCTGTGCATAATAGATGGCCAAATGTATGTAACAAGCAGAGGGAAACAGAAAATATAAGGACTGAAGTCAGCTCGACAAGCTGAGTCTATCTAGCCATGTCCTCCCCACCGTCCGTCCCAACATCCATAATATAAAAGCTAGAGAATTGTTTGCTTTACCCATTTCCTTATTATCGATAAAAATCGATATTCCTTGATTTTTCTAGTAAAAGCCACTCCAAATGCCAACTTCGCAAGGATCCTTGTATCTCCTAGTCGAGCACTCCCGACTAAAGCACTAGAACTAGAACTAGATGCTATAATTAACCAATACTTATAGGACTATTCTGGGCTCTGTCTTTGCTGAGTTTTATTGCCTTTTCCCTCTGTGCTTTGCAGGTTGCCCGATTCGGTTATTTGGTTTGAACCACCGATTGCCTGTCGCTGGGAGACGGACATCGAGACGCTCGAGTCGCAACTGGCGGATGGTGTTAAGCCAGATGCAGCAGCAGCATCAACAACGGCAGCAGCTACCACAGCCACGCCCACAGAGGCGACACCACTTTCGACAAACGCACAGCCCAGCCCGCTAAAAAGCTCGCCACGCGGTCCAGCCAGGATGCGCTCTCAGAAATCTGATCTGGCCGCATTGCAGGCACAAACGCTGCGTGAAATCGGAGACTTCGACTTGCGTGCCATACCCCGGAATGTGGATCTGTATGGGCTGGTCAAGGACTTTGTGGTGCCACGCCTGCCGCAGGGCTTCTGCGTGCGTCTGGAGCAGCAGACGCCGCAGTCGAGCAGCGGACTGCCACAACGGCAGGTGATGTTTCTGGCGCGTCAGACACACGTTCGCCTGGGCCAGGCGAAAGCGACAACAATGTCTGCGCGTGCAGCAGATCCCGAGCAGCCGCCCAGCAGCTTGGGCATTGGCGCTGAATTTCTGGATACGGCAGAGCCGGCCGAACTCTTTCCCCCGATCTGCTTTGACAAGCTGCTCAAGTTTCGCAGCCTGGCGCGTCCACCGCCTGTGACGCCCAGTGGCTGCTACCTCTTCTCGCAGCTGATCGAAGATATGGATCGGCTGTGGCGCATGCAGCTGCCGCGCGAACAGCACGAGGAGCTGCTGCAACAGATATCCGAACAGCTGTCGCCCAGCGGCTCCCAGCAGGATGTTAACGAGGAGCTGGCCGACGATCTGCGTCCACTGAGTCAGGAGCTGGTCGAAGTACTGCAGCCAGCAGCAGCTGCTGCTGCCTTTGCCTACTACACGGGCATCTCCTTCATCCGCGATGCACAGCTGCCCGCGGAGTCAGACCCGGAGACGAAGCCCAAGTCAGCTGGCAGCCAGGACAGCAGCGATGATGATGCTGACGATGATGACTATGAGGACAGCCTCTTGGAGCTGCTCGAGGGCAATGCTGGAAACGAATCCTCAGCTGGCGGCACACTCCAACAGGTGTTCAGCGGGAACAGCAACAGCGACAACTGCGATAGCGAGGCGTAAGCTCCCAATGAACTCAGGGTATTCCCGTTTATCAATTCTTCGTTCTTCCTCTCCCTGATTAGTCGCAGACAAAAGCAGAGCAGCACGGCGGCCATTACCCAGGGTAAATGGAGCACACGCGACGTCCATGATACCAAATTCAATGAGGACAAACTGTCCATTCAGTTTCGCACGGGCCGACTTGGTGAGCGATTCGTAATGAGTTCGTGAATCAATCTTAATCAACTAGCTTTGATCTCTAGGTATCTTTGGCTTCGCCTTAAACAAGTACAGCAACATGCCCTACCAGACCTGGGATCTGAGACCAGATATGAAAAAGTATGTGACAGCTACAAGTCCAGCTAGCTCCATATGAAAGATAAAATAGTTGAGTTAATGTCAAAATGTCATTTGCTAGTCCGGGAACCATATTCTTTAGCTTGACTGCATCACTGATCAGCCTGGAGATGACCATCACCGAGGCGGGCTACACTGTCCACAATTTTCAGGGCGGAAGCACGCAAGGCATCACGGACATGCTTGGCAAGACGTTGAGCTTGACTGAGCTGAAGGCGACACTGATTTCGTCTGCCGTAGACATCTTTCCGGACGAGGATGCCTTCTGCTATACGGAGGGCTCCTGCGAGAAGAACTTTGTGATGGAAATGCACACCTACGCCTGCATCTCGACCCTGGCACTGTCCCACAACTTTAGCTGGTCGCGCTGGAATCTATTGGCTGGCTCCCGCACAGCCGTGCTACTCATCCGCGAGCTAATCGAGGGCAAAAAGGTTCCCTACTACTCCACACTGCTGGTTACCCCGCTGAAGACCTCAATTATTGACTGCACCGAAGTGTCGGCCAGCTTCAATGCAGTGGGCATTGCCGGCATGGAATACTATGCGGATCTCTATCAGCTATCGCAGGCCCACGCACAGCCCGTCAGCCTAGAGAAACAGCGCAAGATGAGTCCAATACTTAGGGATAACGTGGCGAGCATTTTGATTGGCATTAGACCTCTTAGTTTTTGTTGAGTCTTAACTGAATAAAGTATTTCATAATATTTATTAATATTGCCTCTCTATTCAATTCTCATAATTACATTTAAGACGGACAATTGATTGACAAACTGTCTTAGAAACCTAGTGAGCTTTATCTTTCATTTTCTTTTTGCCTTTCTAGCTAAAAGTACTCGCAACATTTTGAGCTTTAATCTTCACTTGAATTTTATATTTCTAGCTTACTGATTATCATGAGTTTATCTGGGATTTATCTGAAATACATGCTTTGATTAATGGATATTAACAAATTGTATTCAAGATTCAGCCACATCAACTCGTTGTCAATATCGCCTTGCTATGCAATTCCCAAGGCTCACAGCATCAATACTTTGATTACTACTGTAATAGTACGGGTTTTGTTCCTCTTTTTTAACAATGAGCTATCTCTTTTCCATATATATCAGCTGACTGTTGGTCATTTTCCTTTATAAAATATAGAGCATAAAACTTAACTAATTCGCCTTGACACCTTGAGCCATTCGCACACTCATGGCATAAGAGTCCTTAGTCAATGGCTCTTTAGTGCTGTCAGTCTTCACAACGCAGCTTATCATGCAGCTGTTTAGCTTGTATAGAACTCGGACCGTACTTCACTTATTTCTTTCTTTTTTCCTTTTGCCATTAACCTTAAAAGTTTGCCCAAATGTGATGAATAGCCAAGAGTGAAAATTATTCATTTGAAAGTGCTCAAATCTTTCAACAAGTTTCAACAGTGGCCCCGGCGCTGACCACGTTGAGTGTCAATTGGCACACACAAACACACACACACACACACGCACACACACTTTGAAGTGTTAAAATAAATATGGCTACATGGCAGAAATGTTGGCCAAGCGCTCATATTTTAGCCCACTTGTAAATTTATGTAAAATGAAATGCAAGCCAAGTTTGCTAACGTTGGCAGGGGAGTGCATATCAAAAGGGGCTAAACAGACCTCACCCCCAACACACAGCTTTCAAATGAAAGTTTTTCTGTATGTGTATTTTTTTCCGATTTTCTAACTTTGAGCTGCGGGCTGCCAACAAAATTTATGCTCCGACAGCTAAGCGGCTTTCCAAAAGGTCACAAAAAGCCCAACGGCCAGTCGAACAAAACAACAAAAAAAAAAGAAATGCAACCAGTAGACATCCAAATGCGGACTGTGCTGCCCCAAAGGGGCCATGAGCAGTTGGTGGGCGTGACCCCAGCAGCCAGCAGCCAACAGCCAGCAGCCAGCAGCCAGCTCCACTGTTGCACAAGCTCCGCCAGCTGAATTAGCTGGCATTGAATTTCCAGCGCAGAACGAAAGCAAATCAAAACCTAATGAATATTTCCAACATAAGCGCACACACACACACACACACACCCACACACACAGAAAATTTGATTGCTCATTATAAATTGATGCGATATGAAAGCTTAAAATATTATTGAAACCATTTTAAACCACATTTTGGCACAGTGGTTAAAAACAACATGAAATCATCTTAAATTTTTAACGCAAATTCCTTTCGCTTCAGATTCTACAGATTCTACAGTCAACAGCATCATTATCCGTAGTGCTATAGTCTAAAGTACTATATTTAATAATCCAAACTCTGAAATTATATTTAGTCTATTTAACTAAGGCTCAACTAAGCAATTTTCACTGTCCCATTGCTCGAATTGCATTGCTCTTGGCTCTGTATTCCATCAACCCATTGTTTCAATTTTCCTTAATCATAGTTGAATTGTGAATAATTCAATAGTATTGTTGTTCAATTGTTTCTATATATGCACTCTGCTTTGATTCCATTGTTCCAAATGTCTTTAATTAATTGAAATTTAAATTAAACTTTGTTCTGCTCATCCAAAATTAAAAAGTTCAAACTTTCTTTGATACACAACTGTACTGTTTCGAATTCCATTGTTCCATTAGCCTTTAATTGCAATTCAACCAAAAATGTACTAATACACACTTTCATAGCTACACCGCTTTACTGTTCCACGTTCCATTATGCCATATGCCTTTAATCAATTGCAATTTATCTTAATCATTGTTATGTTATGTTAAATAGTACAAATTTCTTAGATACACAACTGTTACATTCCATTGTTACATTCCGCAAGGTTACATTCCATTGTTCCATTAGCCTTTAATTAATTGCAATTGAATTAAATTAAATAAACTGAAAAATTGAATAATACAAACTTTCATAGGTGCGTCATTGTACTGTTTCATATTTCATTGTTCCATTAACCTTTAATTAATTGTAATATAACTTAATCATTGTTCTGCAGCTACAAAATTGAATAGTACATACTTTCTTAGGTACACAGCTGTACCGTTTCAATTTCCACTGTTCCATTAACCTTTAATTAATAGCAAATTAACGCAACAATTGTTCTACAACTCCAAAATTTAATAGTAGAAACTTTCATAGCCACCTCACTGTACTGTTTCATATTCCATTGTTCCATAATCTGATTGTTTTCCGCATTAATATTTATTTGGCTTCATACTCTCAACGTAACATGAATTTTATTTAATGCAGATCTATAACTTAATAGCTTTAAAGTCCGTTCCCATTATTCCTCAGCTTTTTAGCACTACCAACTGTGCTCATAATATCCATTGTTTCTAAAATTTCGTTGTTCTATAGTTTCCTATTTCATAATCCCATGGCTGTGCTATCTCACATTTCACAGCTCTATTGTTCCATTGTTCCATTGTTCCATGGCTCGTCGGTCGGTCCCAAAATGGATGACAGAGTGTTAGCTCATTTGGTTGCCAAATACGACTATTGTGGGCGGCGGCGTCGTCGTCGTGCAGCGGAAAAGTACTGGCAGGTGTCAAACACGGAAACGGAAACGTAACCAAAAATGTGAATGCCACAAACTAAACCGCTACCCCACGAACGGGCAACGCGCTGTCAGCTTTTAACAGGTAACCACACAAACGTGTTTTGCGGCTTTGTGGCATCCTCTTCAGGCCAGACTCCCACAGTCCCGAAACATAAAAAAATAACATCAAAACAAACAAAACAGCAGCTGGAAATATTTGAAAATTAATTGCCAAATGTGTTAGCGGAAGCAAAATGGCGCTGATATGCAAAATCTTGTTGTGTTTCGTTTCGTTTCGTTTCGTTTCAAAACAATTGAAAAGTTTACCTAAGGGCAGGCGGCGAGCGGGGCACTCGTTGCGGCTGCTTAGCACAACCAGAAGAACAAACACTTTTTAATTATTTATTCATACACGAGCTGCTGCTGCTGCTGCTGCTGCTACTGCTGGGACGTGGAGACGTGCCATGTGGGCGGAGCACGGAGGCGTGGTTCAGGCACTCGCTCATTAACAAAACAAACGACAGCCCAAAAGCAGCAGCAGCAGCGGCAGTGGCAGCAGCAGACAAACAGGCGCCGCGGGCAATGTGCGAATGCGGACCGGCTAGAGGTTAAGGAGGGGCCAGGGCATGAGGTTTAAGGGCAATGATTGCTGGCACTCAGACAGCGGGGCACCTAATGTAGCTGGTGACCTTCACAAACACACAAACACACACACGCACACACACACCCACATGCACACAGAGAGAGAATACGCATTAAATCGCGCATACGCCGCATGTCACTGCCAGACTAAGCGTAAGAAATTGAAAGATGGGACGCCGCATTAAGGGATAACTCGCTCAGAATATGTTAATTTGCCAGTCAAAGCAGTTAACAAACAAGCAAACAAACACACACGAGCACACACATGCATGTGTGTGCGTGTATATGTGTGTGTGGCAGTTAATAAAGTTGTGTTCTCTCGTATTCGACACGAGTAACAGAAATTCGACGGCTCATATACATATTTAACGAAACATCACACATTCGCATAATTTAATAGTTCGCATTATAATATAAAACATGTCTATTCCAATACATATACATATTTCTGCATACACAAATACGTATGCATGTGTTAATGGCATAAAACGTAGCTTAGACAAGCTCTCGTGCTGCTCTAATGCTCTTCTGTTAAGACTTCATATAGAAGTGCCTGTGATATGTTTAATAAATAATATATTAGCTAATTATTCACATATAAGTCCATCATTCTGTTTACCACAATATTTATCAGCTTGCTCATTAATCAATTTACAGTCATCAGCCAGCTTATCAGTCAGGTCATCAGTCAAGTTGTTTACAGTTGTTTTCGTCCCTCGTATGGCCAGTCAATCTACGATTAATTCGTTCATTAGCCAGCTCATCAATCTAATCACTAGTCACTTAATCTGCCAGCTCATCAGTCATTATATCATTCAATTTTTCAGTCAGCTCATTACTCAGTTCATCAGTCAACTCATCTATCAGTTTGCCAGTTAACCCAGTAATCTATATACCAATTAGCCTAGAAGACAGTTCATCAATCTATAACAAGCAGTTCATCATTTAGTTCATCACTCAATCAATCAGTACATCCTTCAATTCGTCAGCCAGCTCATCAGACCAATCCCCAGACAACTCATAAGTTAACTCATCAGTCAATTTATCATTCAGTTCATCGGTCAGCTTATTAGTCAATTCATCAGGCAATTTATGAGTCATTTCATCAGACAGCTCATCCATCAGCTTTTCATTTAGTTCATCAGTCAACTCATCAGTCAGCTCATTAACCAGTTAGTTAGATAGCTTATCATTTAAGTCATCACACAACTCATCAGTCGCACTCGTCAGTCAGGCCATCAGTCCAATCCCCAGACAACTCATAGGTCAACTCATCAGTCAATTTATCATTCAGTTCATCGGTCAGCTCATTAGTCAACTCATCAGTCAGTTCATCAGTCAGCTCATTAACCAGTTAGTTAGTTAGCTTATCATTTAAGTCATCACGCAACTCATCAGTCGCACTCGTCAGTCAGGCCATCAGTCCAATCACCAGACAACTCATAGGTCAACTCATCAGTCAATTCATCGTTCAGTTCATCGGTCAACTTGTCAGTCAGCTCGTCAGTCAACTCGTCAGTCAGCTCGT